CTAACTACACTATTACAAGCTATGTCGCTAACTACACTATTACAAGCTATGTCGCTAACTACACTATTACAAGCTATGTCGCTAACTACACTATTACAAGCTATGTCGCTAACTACACTATTACAAGCAACATGTATGTCGCTAACTACGCTATTACAAGCTATGTCGCTAACTACACTATTACACTATGCCGTTTGTATGATTGAGATGTGAAAACATTCCAAATAATACTTAAGTTGATCACCAAACTGTTGTAAGGGTATTACAATGTAAGGAATGTAATAGAGTATACCCAGTGTAGAGCATAGCCAGTGTAGAAGGGGTAATCAGGTGAAATTTCATACCTGAGGTAGACTTTCTGCACCTCACATACCAATGTAATTACTACATATACGTATCTCTCGTTCTCCCGGCTGTTACTGAAATAGTGGTAAAACACGGAATCGACACTGCAAGTATCACACTAAATATAACAAACATTTTAATTATAAATACTCTAAAACAGCAGAAAATCTACATGCTCAGTCAAACGATGTTTAGACACGGGTTTTCAATTGTGACATCATAATATGACGTAGTAATAATAGATGACACCGAGTACATCCATGGTAGATTAAAACTATATATCTTTCACTCCCTCGAAGTAAAGTAGGGTGTCTCATCTATGGCAAGCCAAGTTGTCATTTATTCATGGAGCAATGTTGATCCAGTACTTAACCAAAGTATATAAGATATCTTATAAATTATATAAGATATCTTGTAAACATATAAGATATCTTATTTAAAGTTTATGAGATATCTTATATCTTTTATAAGATATAAGATATCTCATACACTTTTCTTTATAAGATAACTGATATATTATATAAGATATCTTATATAATATATCTCAAGATAAGATATATTATATCTTTTTTAAGATATCTTATATAATTTATAAGATATCTCACAAAAGGTATAAGATATCTTATATCTTTTATAACATATCTCAATTAATTTTCTTTATAAGATATCTTATATATCATATAAGATATCTCATAAAAGATATAAGATATCTTTCAAATATATATGATATATTATAAAGAACGAGACTCTCGCGAGACGGACAAAGAAGAAATGTTTGAAAATGACTGCTCCCGTTGTACATGTAAGGTCACATCCGTTTTCGTTGGCGATAATTTGATTAAGTACTGGATCAAAATTGCTCCATAAATAAATGACAACTTGGCTTGCCATAGTTATAGTAGTTTCAGTTTGATAACTGGTCCCGTTGTCATTGGCAGTCATTTTCGATCAAATCCTTTCGGACACCTTCGGTTATCGATAGGTTCCGAGCGCTGTGGGGGAGGTTTTAGTATCTCAAATTCAAATTTCGTTCTTTATAAGATATCTTATAACCGAATTATATATGCTATCTCGTTTAATTTTGTTTATAAGATATCTTATATATTATATAAGATATCTTATAAAAGATATAAGATATCTTTTATAATATATAAGATATCTCATTTTTTTTCTTTTATAAGATATCTTATATCTTTTATGAGATATCTTGTATAATATATAAGATATCTTATATCTTTTTTGAGATATCTTATATAATATATAAGATATCTTATAAAGAAAAATATATAAGATATCTTATAAAGAAAAGTATATAAGATATCTTATAAAGAAAAGTATATAAGATATCTTATTAAGTATATAAGATATCTGTTTTATTATATAAGATATCTTATAACGTATATACGATATCTCATAAAGTATATCAGATATCTTATATAACTCCGTGAATAAATGGCAACTTGGCTTGCCATACTCAACCTTCGGCGAATTATTTAGTTGCCAAATGAGTGGTTGACAAATTAAGAATCTCCGTTGAGATTTCCATCTTTTATCTCACCTTCAAGGGACCATGTACGCCCCTTCTAAATTATAGGTTACCTACCTGGGGAATCTGGCTATAGAGTTACAGCCGTGTAATGGTATAGATGTTTCGTAGTTTATATTGTGATAACGTGTAACACAAGCCGTTGCATGACCAAAGTAGCCTAACTCGGCGGGAACGTATTGGTGGCTATCCATTGGTCAAATTGACGGAATAAAGTATGAATATGTTTTGAACATTATTCCATCCTCGACGTAGTGGCTGTCATTGTTGTTCGGTTTATAGTTAAAGAAAGCAACTTGAATATCAGCACGAGATAAAGATAAGGAATGTTTCGCAGAGAATACACTATATATAACGACCGATTGAAGACATGCAATAAAAGTGATGTCACACATGTGTTAATGTGATGTCACACATGTGTTAATGGGATGTCACACATGTGTTAATGGGATTTCACACATGTGTTAATGTGATGTCACACATGTGTTAATGTGATGTCTCAGATTACACTCGTTCATCACGCTAATTGATGTATATCACTCGGGAGGAACAGCCCTCGTGAAATATATATACATACACGCCAAACACTCGTGCAACCTGAAATGTCAGATGATCACATATTTGTAGTATTGCCCATTTATAACACCAGGGAGGTGTGACTGATTTACTTGTCCATGGTATGAGAATCACGTATCCCACACGAATGTGCGTACAGGTGAGATAACTGTATTTTGTCCTATACGAATTGGGAAATATTGCTTTAAATTCAGTCCTCCTCTGTACGTGTATAACTGTCAATCACCGTGACAACTTACGTGTGTTTTGGGGACAGACATGGCGGGGAACATTACAATGAACAGGTTCACGCATCAAATAGAAAAGATATAAAAGAAAATCATGACTTTGTCTATTCACACCGCTTTGTAATGGGGTAAAAAACACATTTTATATTCATCATCAAGGTAAGTGTATGTCCAGTACTGCTTTAGATTTTAGGTCACCTGAGACAAAGTCGTGCGTCATCCGTAGTGAGTCCGTATTTTTTTTACATTTTCGACTTCTTCTCCAAAACCCCCGAACTAATTTCAATGAAATTTTGTAGAAACCTTCCATGGCCCAGGGGCCTGAGGGGCGGGGCCAAAAAGGGTCAAATTGACTAAAATTTCAAAAATCTTCCTCTCAAGATCCAGATATGATAGAATCAAATACTCTGCATAGATGGAAGGGTCTTAAGGTGCTTTACCAAAATGGTGAATTTCATGACCCTGGGGTTTCGCGTTTCCCCTTGGGGAGGGGTACACTTTACTATAGTTTATATAGGGAAATCACATTTTGGACCAGCATTTGTTTAATTTCCATTGGAATTAATTCAAACTTGGTTAGCGTTATCAGTATTGGATAGCAGTTTGATGATATGCACAAATCAGTCCTGACTGACCCCCAGGGGCTGATGGGTGGGGCCAAAAAGGGTCAAATTGACTAAAATTTCAAAAATCTTCTTCTCAAGATCCAGATATGGTAGAATCAAATACTCTTCATAGATGGAAGAGTCTTAAGGTGCTTTACCAAAACTGTAAATTTCATGACCCTGGTGTCTCCCGTTTTCCTCCTGCGGAGGGGGTAAACTTTACTATAGTTTATATAGGGAAATCACATTTTGGACCAACATTTGTTTAATTTCCATTGGAATTAATTCAAACTTGGTAAGCATTATCAGTGCTGGATAGAAGTTTGATGGTATGCACATAACAGCCCTGACTGACCACCAGGGACTGATGGGTTCGGCCAAGACCCAGATATGGTAGAATCAAATACTCTTCATAGATGGAAGGGTCTAAAGGTGCTTTACCATAATTCAGCTGACTGACAGAAACACTATTTGTACATAGTACATATACTACCCAGATCTTTCACACTGCTTTTGCATTACATGTAGTTCAAGTTACCTTTGTTACAAAATAGTTTCTTTTTCATTTGGCAACATCGATAACAACAGTTTTTACATAACTCAGGTGACCGCTAAGGCCCATGGACCTCTTGTAAAATTCATAGAGTTAAATGAAATAAACATGAACATAGTACATAAAATGAAAGGAAAGTATTCCGGGTCAAACATTTCCTGGATTTGACGGAAAGCATATGCATCATGACCTAAATCATTAATTGTTTAATTTTCCGGGGCAGCTAGTGACGTTACGTCTCCTCAGTTCGTGTTGTTGTCTTTTTCTTAGCCTCTGTGTCGCTTCCATTCTTAATGTACTCTTCATTGGTTTGTGTTTCCTTAATGTACCCTATATTGTGTTTGTGTTTCCTTAATGTACCCAATATTGTGTTTGGGTGTCCTTAATGTCCCCTGTATTGTGTTTGTGTGTCATAAATGTACCCTATATTGTGATTGTGTGTCCATAATGTACCCTATATTGCATTTGTGTGTCCTTAATGTATCCTATATTGTGTTTTTGTGTCCTTAATGTCCATTGTACCCTATATTGTGTTTATGTTCTCTAAATGTACCCTATCTTGTGTTTGTGTGTCCTTAATGTACCCTATATTGTGATTGTGTGTCCTTAATGTACCCTATATTGTGTTTGTGTGTTCTCAATGTACCCTATATTGTGTTGTGTGTCCTTAATGTATCCTATATTGTGTTTTTGTGTCCTTAATGTACATTGTACCCTATATTGTGTTTGTGTGTCCTTAATGTACCCTATATTGTGTTTGTGTGTCCTTAATGTACCCT